CCATGGCCCAGCACCTGGGAGGGGACCCCACTCCCCTCATCCCTGGCTCCCGGGCTCAGGCCGTGGCTGCTGAGACATAGCCCTTGGCAGCCAGGATGGGCCTGGGCACAAGTCCTCTATCCCAGGTCCGGGAGCTACGGAAGCAGAGCCCCATCTCAGCTCGCGTCTCCTGAAGACCCGCCTGGTGTGGCAGCTGCAGGTGCAGGTGAGCTCTTGCTGACAATTGTTGGGGATGTGACTGTGGGGAGCAGAGGCCCTGGGACTGACAGCAGCCCTGAGTCCAGTGCCTCTGCCTGGGTCCCAGGACACCCCTGTGGGAGTACACACCAGCCCCATGCTCCCAGCCACACACCACACCCACACCCGAAGGTCTGGTCCTGCAGCCCAGACGGGCAGGTGCAGCCAGGCCTCAAGGTTGAGGGAGATGCGAGAAGTGGGGGGCACTGCAGGGCCTGGCCCCGGGCTTCCCTGAGGCCTCTCCCCCCTCCCTCCCTCTTCCAGGCTCATTCACCATCCTCACCTTCGAGGTGGAAGCTGCAGCACCTGCCTCCAATAACGGCTGCCCCCCCCCCACCTCCCTGTGCCCACAGGTGTGGGTGCTCCTGGAATGAGCCCACCAGGGGCCACAGACTCCTGCAGGAGGCAGGTTCTCTCTCTCTGAAAGGCGAGGGCTCCCTGCAAGGCCAGTCGCCTGCTCCCGCACCTGCTCTCGCTGCCTGGCCTCCAGCAGCTGACTTTACCCCGGCCCTTGCGGACGGGAAAGCCTGCCTGTGAGCACTGCCATGTTTCAGTGGAGGGATGCTGCTCAAAGCTGCCACCTCCAAGCCTGCCTGGGGGTTTGACCCTCCAAGTGTTTCTCACTCTTTTTTAAAAAATTTATTTAATACTAGAGGCCCGGTGCACAAAATTCATGCACTGGTGGGGGGGTGTCCCTCAGCCCAGCCTGCACCCTCTCCAATCTGGGACATCTCAGAGGATGTCCGACTGACGGTATAGGACCAATCCCTGTGAAATCGGGCCTAAACCATCAGTCAGACATCCCTCTCACAATCTGGAATGCTGGCTCCTAACCACTCTGTCTGTCAGGCGGATTGACACCTTACTGCTCCCCTGCAGCCTGATCACCCCAATTGCCCTCCCCTGCAGGCCTGGTCCCCCACAACTGCCATCCTCAGCAGGCCATCTTGTGATACGTAGGGGCGGCCATCTTGTGATGCGAGTGCGTGAGGGTCTATTTGCATATTATCTCTTTATTAAATAGGATATTTTAGTTGATTTCATAGAGGAAGGGGGGGGGGAGAGAAACATCACTGATGAGAGAACATCACTGATGATCAGCTGCCTCCTGATGCCTCACACTGGGACTGAGCCCACAGCCTGGCCTGTGCCCTGACCCGAATGAAAACGTGACTCCTGGTTCATAGGTTGATGCTCAACCCCTGAGCCCCGCTGGCCGGGCCCTTCTCAGTTTCCTCTCTAACGAATGGTGCCAGCACGGCGCCTCCCAGGCCTGACCGTCCGCTGCCTCTGGGCGCTGTGGTCCGTCCAGCCACCTGGACCTGAGAAGCAGTGCCAGTGTTTACTAACAACACCAACCTGGTCGGGCCCAGCTCCGACAAGCACATAACTCCTTCTTCCCAAGGGGATTATACTTATAATGGCTTCAGTGGGGAGCTCCCTATTTGTTTACCTAAAGGGGGACTTCAGGATGTTTGCAGCTTGGCCAAGAAAATAAGGTGTCCTATGAAGGCGCAGATGTTGCTAACATTGCAGGCCCCTGGGATATGGAAAATATATTCAGACAGTTACTAACCTGGGGTTCCGTAAGGCCAACCAATGGCTGGCTGATCGGCATCCCCCACTCCCCTCCTGACCTAATAGCACCACTACTGAGCTGGGAGCATTTCCTCAATGGCAAGATTGGGCCAACCCTGTACCAGTGAGACATACTATTTCTGGCTCTGACTTGTATGTATTGGATTGGTCCCACAGGCTTGATGCTAAAAGTCCCTTTCATGAGCCTATGTCACCAGGAGGGTTTGTGGGTGACGCCCTGACCACGGAAACAGGAGGTTTACAGAAAGGTCTGTGGCGTTTAGCTGCTGCCCTTGAGTTTCCTCATTTGACTGGCTCTTCCTTAGCTGATATTAAAGGAGCGTGTTCATCGAGCCCTTGCCATGGATTACCAGCCTGTGTCCAGCCTCCGTATGTATTGGTGATTGGAAAGGTGAACATCACCAGATTGGACTCCCATTATGCTGTCCAATGCCATCACTGTGACCTTACCAGCTGTGTTTCCAGGCAGCACCTGAATGGAGATATAGTAATTTCAAAGCAGCCTTCCTTTATTATGCCTCCTACCCACATAACAGAGAGATGGTATCATGATGCACGCCTCCAGGCATTGCAGGAACTGCACAATCAGCTCTCCAAGGAACAGCGTGCTGTGGGCTTATTAGTTCTGGTCTTGTTACCTCAGTTACTGTCATCGTATCTGCTGTCACTGCTTCTCTTCTATTGACCCAAAGCCTCCAGAATGGAAAGTTTGTCCATGAATTGGCTCAGAACACCTTGGCTACACTTCATGATAAAGAAGATATAGATAAAAAGTTTGAAACAAAGCTAAATTCTCTGGAAGCTGTAGTGATAGAACTAGGTCATCAATTAGAAAGTGTCAAGATGAGACAGCAGCTGCAATGCCATGCTGCTTTCACATATATTTGTGTGATTTCAGCCCCGCTATGATAGTTCTCTATGAGATTGGAGTAAAATCAAGATGCACCTACAGGGAATATGGCATCATATTAATATCAGTATAGACCTCATACAGGTACACAAACATGTGCGAGCCATTCTGAATAGTCATGATGAAATTATATCTCCAGTGAAAAGAATTGCTGGATGATTTAAAAGGATTTAATTCATGGAAAATGTTAAAACACACCACCTGGCACCGAATAGGATTCCTTTATGTACCACTAAACTTACCCTTCTATATTTTAGTCAGCAACAAGTTCCTGAGATCTCAAGTCCGAAGGCTCCAATTTGATGTCCAACGTACAGTTAAAATGTAAAGAAGGCGGAGATGTAGAGAGCGCCTGAGGACGGTCCCTGATCTGATTGTCATCTGAATCCAGTGGCACCTGGCAGAGCCATGACCTTGAAACATACCTTGCCAGAGGCAGGTGTGTTGTCAGTCTGACCTTTAGCTCAGGCGCCAGGCTCCTGAGTTCCAGCCAGGCACCAGGAACAAACACGATTATCCAGACCCATCCAGAAGTGACGATTACCAAGAAGCCACAGGAATGCACATATTTTCTTTATCTTAAACATTAGTAAAACCTCCTGGTAACTTTCTGTATAAAATAAACACGCTGTGTCTGCTCTGGGTCCCTGTGTCTCCATCAGAGGGCCGCTGACCCACCCTGTCGCAGCTTTTCCTACTGTCTTTGTTTCTGTCTCTTTCATTTTCCCAATCTCCCATCACCCCTATTCAGGACTCCTGTCTGCTCTCTAGCTGTGCTGGTCTCATAAAAGAGAAATAATTATAGATTGGCATCTGTGTGCCTGCGGAGCGAGTTGAAGCTTTATTGAGGATGCGTGCAGTGTGCAAGGTCAGGGTCACCCTCACCCTGGCAGGTGGAAGAGGAAGGCGGGAGTCGGTCCGGATCTCAAAGCTGAAGGTCCCTGAAGGCCGGGTGCGGGGCCAGGGCGAGTTCTGACTTTCTGTGGAGGCCTCCTGTGCCCGTGCTGGGGCGTGGGACCCACTCAGAGACCCTCCAGGCCATCGACCGCCCTACACGGGCCGCACCTTCATCTCAGCCACCTTGTAGCTGTAGTTGAGCCCCTTCCCGGACTGCCAGTTAATGCCATTTGCATAGCTCTGGTGGGTGCCCCCAAGGTAGCGCCCATTCAGGTTGGAGTTGAGGCAGCCATTGTACCAATAGGCGCCCTGGTAAGTCTCGGCGCAGTTGGAGGAGGACCTGTCGTTATCCTGGTCTTTCGTGGAGAACTGGAAGTTGTTGTGTTGGGTCAGGGAGTCACCTGCCAGGGAGAAGCGGGGCACTTACACTCAGTGCCAGGAGTTGCCGGTGCCAGGTCCGGCTGGAGCTGTCCAGCTGCGCATCCTGCGCTGTGAAGTCCAACAGTGCCGCACGCCAGCAAACGCTCGGTCGGTGGATCCCTGGCCTCAGTATCCCCCCTCTGCTCTGTGCCGCCAGCTAATGGGCACTGTGCCCCGTAGAGGGGAGGCCACTGCCCGAGACGTCCAGGTCCCTCGGGCCCCACGGGAGGGACGTGCGCCATGAGCGGTGCTACCCGGGCGTCCTGTCCCCCTGCTCCAATGCGGGCGGTCAGGAGGGAGACGCTCAGGTCCTGTACTCTGTAGCCGTGTGTCCCGCCATCGTCATAGGCCCATCCAGGTGGAGGCGGGTTATCCCAATGTGTGGATGGAGGAACATGGTGAGGCCAAGGCCCCGCCCAGGCTCCAGGACACGGAGCCAGGACCTCGCCCTGATGCTCTCCACTGCCCAACACACACTGCCCACCCCACACTGCCCATCACCACTGCCCACCCCTGACTCCTCCCCTTACCCTACGGCTGACACTCACCGGCGTTGCCCCCAGTAAAGGCGCCCAGGATCAGCTTGTACTTCTCGGCCTCGCTCCCCACCCTGAACGACTGGTACTTGGCAAAGTAGTGGTTGCCCTGGAAGTCCACCAGGTCCACACGGAGCTCGTTGGTTCCTGCAGGGGGCAGGGCCTCAGTACCGGGAGCAGGGACCCTGAGCTGCCAGGACGTGGGTGACACTCAGGGGACCTGCACTGGGCATCCAGGACGTCCCTCACGGTTCCCCAGAAAGTCCTGGTAGCTGAGGGGTGGGGGCATGTGCTCCAGGCGTCCTGAGCCAAACTCTCAGCCCTACCTCCAGCCCCAGAGAGAAGGGGCCCTCTGCGTTCCCGGGTGGGGGGGTCACCAGAGCCTTGTGGGAAGCGGCCGTCTCCCGTGTGTGTTCAGGGACGGGCACGGTGGGCGGCGAGGGCAGGGCTCGGCGCTGGGCCTGACCCCGACGAGGGCCTCCGTGTCCCCCTGGATTGGTCTCCGAGATGCCAGTGGCCGTGACCGGAGGACGTCTGCCCCCCAAACTCACTTCCTCTGGCCCTGACACCCCCCCTCACACTGGGACCTTCCTGTCCTCAGAGGCTGCACGTGTGGGGGCGGAGGAGCGGCTCAGTCCAGGTGGCCCAGGTCTGAGGTCGGGGCAGGTGGGTTTCTACTCCCCCTCTACCCCCTCAGGCCGCGGCCGGGGCCCTACCATTGGCGGTCAGGGCGTGGATGTTGTCGTTGCCCAGCCAGAACTCGCCCAGCTGGCTGCCGAAGCCCTGCTTGTAGGCGGCCCAGTCCCGGTAGAAGTCCACGGAGCCGTCCACCCTGCGCTGGATCACCTGGGGGAGGGGAGACGGCGCTGCCGACCAACATGGCCCAGCCCACAGCCCAGACCCCGGGCGGACAGACGGGCGCCCACGAGGGACCAAGGTGGACGTGGCCGCTGGGAGAGGGGAGGCCACGGCCCGGAGCCCACACCTGGAGGCACGGGGCTCCCTCGGGCCGGGCCCACGGTCGGGTTCACCCACCCCGTAGGGTTCTCTGAGTCCCCTGGGAAGGGGCAGCCCCAGACACAGGGGCCTGGACAGTGACAAGGGCCCCGGAGCGCGGGTCCTCGGGGTGGAGCCTGGTCTGCGAGGCCCGGGCACGGCAGCCGCCCCCCTAGGACCGCACCGCCCTCCCGACGCCGGCACTCACGGTCCAGCCCCCGCCGTCCGTGTCCATGTCGCACAGCACGGTCAGCGGCCGGCAGTCGGGCAGGTAGATGGTGTGCCAGCCGCTCACGGTCTGGCCCCTGGTGAGCAGCTCCCGGCAGCTCCGAGGTCCTGGGAAGGGAAGCGGCACGTGGAGGCCCCCGGGCGGGAGGGAGGGCGGGACAGTGGGGTCTGCGTGGGCAGGAGGCTCCGGGGCTGGACAGAGACCCCATGAGGCCCACCAGCTGTGACGGACAAGCCCCTTGTGCCCGGCCCCCCCCGCAGGGCGCCCCCCCATCTTGGTGCCCGGGCAACCGGCCATTGGGGGTTTCTTAATATTTAGGGGGGCAAGGAGACTAGGACTGTCATTGGGGGGCCCTAAAGGCAGGGAGATGAGGGGCGGGGGCTTGAGTGCTTGTG